CGGTCGTTTGGGGCGAGCTCCGCAGCGGGGGCGTCCCTCCGCCCCTTCCCCAAAAGCTGTTTCCAAAGCCGCTCAGCACCAGGTTCGCCCCTCTCGAACCAGATGAACAAGCAATCACTAATGAATGTCCTCTTCTCTCCCCCCACCCCATCTCCCTCCCTCCTCTCTCTTTCCTCTCGGCGTGGATTCCTTCCCCTCCCTCCCCTTCCCCACGTTGATCTCCTTTCCCTCCGACAACCTCTCCTTCGTCCGATTTTTTTCCCCCCCCGGGGTGGGTTTGGCACCAGTCTGGGGTTACGGTTTCCTCTGCGTGACCGTCATCTCCCTCTGCTCGCTGGTGGGAGCCAGCGTGGTGCCCTTCATGAAGAAGACCTTTTACAAGCGGCTGCTCCTCTACTTCATAGCTCTGGCGATTGGAACTCTCTACTCCAACGCCCTCTTCCAGCTCATTCCCGAGGTAGGGCGAGGACCATCGGGTCTGTCCTTTTCTTCTCTCTCGGGGGCTGTTTCTCTCTCTGTCTCTCTCTCTCTGGGCGCTCGCTGGCTGGAGAAGGGGAAGGCGGCGTCGGAGGGGAGCCGAGAGTGAGGTAGGGAGGCTGGAAGCCCCTCGGGACCGCAGTCGGAGCCGGCGTTTCGCCCCTCTTTGGAAGGGAAGCGCTCCGGGGAGAGCTCTGGTCTGCTTCAAGCAGAGCAGCGCTATTTTTACGGCCCTTTCTAGCCCTGCAGGCAAGTGCAGAGACAGCAGAGGCTGCCTGAGCCTGCTTGGAGCAGCCCTGCCCCGCTGCAGGGTGGTGGAGCCAACGCCTTGGGGCGCAGCCAGCTTGGCTGGGAGAGTGAGGGAGATTAAAAGGTGCCCAAAGGTGTTTTCTGAGCTTGGCCCCAAAGCAGCTGCTGCTTAGAGAGAGGTCAGAAAGCGGCAGCGCTGTCCCAGAGGTGCCAAGGGCAAAGGCGGACGAAAAGGCGCCGCTGGAGACCCTTCCTCAGCCCTGTCACTTGTCACCTTTTGCCCACAGGCGTTTGGATTCAACCCTCAAGAGGATTATTACGTTTCCAAATCCGCCGTGGTGTTCGGGGGCTTCTACCTCTTCTTCTTCACGGAGAAGATCCTGAAGATGCTCCTGAAGCAGAAGGACCAGGTGAGGCTGCTCAGGGGCTGCTCAGGTGGGCAGGGGTGGCAGGAATGGCAGGAATGGCAGGGGTGGCTGACACCCCACCCTGTCCCGCAGCACCACCACGGGCACAGCCACTACGGCCCGGAGGCTCTGCCGTCCAAGAAGGACCAGGAGGAGGGGGTCACCGAGAAGCTGCAGAACGGGGACCTGGACCGAATGATCCCGCACATCCCCAGCGAGCTGGAGTGCAAGGCGCCCTCCGGGGATGAGAAGGTTGTGGTGGGCTCCCTCTCCGTCCAGGTTAGTGCCTTCTCCCGTGGGGTTGCGGGTGGGCGCGTGGAGAAGAACCTGCCTTTCAACGAAAGAGAGGAGTTTTGAGGCCTCCCTGACAAAATCCTCGGTGGGTGGTGGAAAGCGGACGGCTCCGGTCAAGCCTTGCGTGGATTTAATGTGGGGAGGGGTGGGTTTCCCCCGGCTGGTGGAGGGAGCGGTGACCCCCCCACCCCCCCAGGGTGCTGACCCCCCTCGCCGTCGGGGTGCCGTGGCAGGACCTGCAGGCCTCGCAGAGCGCGTGTTACTGGCTGAAGGAGGTGCGGTACTCCGACATCGGCACGCTGGCGTGGATGATCACCCTCAGCGACGGGCTCCACAACTTCATCGACGGGTTGGCCATCGGGGCCTCCTTCACCGTCTCCGTCTTCCAAGGGATCAGCACCTCCGTGGCCATCCTCTGCGAGGAGTTCCCGCACGAGCTGGGTACGGGAGTCCTCAGGGCGGGGGGGGAAAGGTGCTGCGAGGGCTCCCGGGTCTGCCCTTCTTTAACCCCGCCGCTTTCCTGGTCTTGCCTGTTGTTTTTCGAGAGAAAGGCAAATGTGGGGTGGAATAAACAGAGTAACGGTGTGGGGAGCGGGAAGGCAAGGCTGTAAACTACACTGAGTAATCACAGCTCTAAAAATAACGAGGTAATATGATGTCTGAGATTTAAATTTAGAGGGAGACATCTGAAGGGAAAAAAAGAAAAAGCACCTCGTTGGTTTGGGAGGGGGGAGGAGGGCAGCGGTTTGGGTTGGAATGTCTGAATTTCTGCGCGGGGAGCTCGGCGCTCGACCTCGGGCAGAAGCAGGCGCTGAACACAAGCACCTCGGTGCTCTCCCGGGTGCTGCTGCC